AAAAACAAAACATTAATAATAGATTTTATAAAAGAGAAAGCAGCATGGAGCATTTTTTCTTATGATGCACCGGGTGCTCATAAGGACGCTCGAGGGGTTAAGTATAGTTCTATCTCTACAAATTCTTTGTAAAATGACAGAGATGGCACGATATTTGAGCACGACTTAATCTGTCAAACACCAAGCGGTCACCGGTGACCGCGGCCTATTGTTCTTTAATTGTGTCTATAAAACCGGTACTCGACGAGTTAAAATTGAGTAAGGTTTCAGTATTCCGGCATGAGTCTTTTAACCCGTGGTATTCCAGAACCTATATCTACGCAGACACAATGTGTTATCTATTGTGTCTCATATACCGACAGATGGGTTAAATACGCAAGGACATTAAAAAAAGGAGGACATAGTCACTTGAAACAACGACTGTGGCACCTGGCTACTATACACTTACATGCAGAACACACACACATTGACACGAAGGACATCTGTCGCGTGACATGGCCCGTCATTACACTTCATACATTACAGTGTTGCAACACGCAGATATAATTCATTTTGGTCCTTCGATCAGCGTGCTTACTCTTGAAACCAATCTCAATGTCAATGCAAAAAAATCTCCATAATTATTCAATGTTAAAACTATACAACCACAATCGTAGCTGTTACAATAGCATTCAGAGTACGGAATATAAAGACAAACTCAATACCATTTAGTTCATTCAATATCCACGGAATACGGATGCAATGGGCGCTAGTGTTGCTACTCAAGAGTACGACACAATATCAATGTCGATCGATCGGAATTGGATTCAAGAGTAAGCGCCCATCTCTAGGTTAGGTACATTACCTTTCTTTTTTAACGTCCTTGCCAGTACGTATATAAATTAATATAGTAACTTTGTCTATTATGGTGTGAAAGAGCGTGAGCTCAAATTATCAATAATAAATGTTTTTATTTGCAGTTTCCGTATAGTCGTCAAGCTTATGTTAATTGCGCCCCGTCCAAATGGTAATAACCTAAGTCTCAATAATACTGTACAAAGCTAAAAACAGGTATTTCATAACCTCGGTACTGTCTCCTGTCCGTTTACATACGTATCACAAACAGATACGGATGTCTTCAAGGCCCGAGTGAATAGGTTGCTTATGGGACGACGTGCTCCATCGTAGACCGCATCATCGTGCACCATCAGGCGAGTGATCAAACGTCAGCACATCAAATATAAAAAACAATGATTTATGGATTACATAAAGAATTGTTCTGAGTCAACTGAGCCATATATATATATATATATATATAAAGAAAAAAGCACACAGCTGACTGTGCCAATTGTCAAGCACTCATTTAATTATCATTGGTTACCTCGAAAACATGAAGGTCCACAAAATGATGCCTGAAGATGAATAATCATGGAGAATTATGCTAAAGATGTTCAAGACATACTTCAGAATAGATCACGCAGTACTAATGCTGAAGAGCTGACGAGATAACTTGAGATACTGTACCGAAAATCACCAAAATTTGTTCATGCAATAGTAGTCTCTAACCATCGGAAATAAGGTTTATAATGAAGTCAGTTTTAGCGGTCACTGGTAATCGCTTGGATTTTGACAATTCAATTACAATACACTCTTCCTCCGATTATACATAAGAACTAAGGGAATACAGTGACAGAGACCGGGCAGCAGCGCTCTCTGATAAACCTGAACCTTGTATACTGCGATCTCCAACCTGCCTGCCTGCGGAGATTGTGACAAACCCTCTTATGTAGAGGAGACTCATAGTACAGCCTCGCTATTGATGATCATTCATAAAAGTTACGAATTGTACTTACATAGAATTATAATAAAAATATAAACTTTTGTTCGTTTTTTTATTTCATACTCCTTTGTCCTGCATACAGAAAATATGCTGGGTGTTAACGAAACGCCTCCGAAACGTTGACAAAAAGAAATAGGGTAGTTGCCAGGGTATGAAAATTATAAATCTAATTAGTCCGTCAGTAAGATAATGAAAAAATATTAGACACGGTATTTTTTTTTTCTCATATTAAGTTGCAATACTTACATAAAATGGAGTTAATTTTAGGAGTGGGAGGTCGTTACGTCATAACGTGCTACGAAATGTGGCACGCTGTGACGTCACACGATATTTCAAATCAATATATCGTCGAAAGTATTTAATCATGTGAGAAAAAAAAAACGTGTCTAGTTTATTAATACTAACAGACGGACATTAAAATAAAATTTAGGAAACTACCCTATTGTTCATACAGTTTTAATTGTTTTTGTTTTCGAGTCATTCATTCAACGTCAGCCTGGAGCGGTTGATTACAACTATTATTACATTAAAATAATTTATTCCTTACTTTTATGAAAATAAAACTTGTTTTTCATCATCCATCACCTTTAAGTTCGGAAGCGTTACGTTTAGGGCTCGTACATAAAACTGCGATGCGAATTGCTGCGATACGATTTCGTGCGACAAGGCTCTCCCAGGGTGACCATTCCTTCGACGACCGTCAACCGTACTAAACGTATTTTAAATTGAAAACTAGGTCGTGTCATGGATCGTAAAATAAGTGTGCACTTCTGTTATTGCTTAGGAGATACAGGAAAAAGAAACAAAGAAGATTTTGGGAAGATAAGATTTTGATGCGCGATGCGATACATACCGCAAGTTCTTGCGATGCGTAGAGGGAGCTCGCACATTTTTGCGATGCGACGTCGCATCCCAGTTTTGTGTACGACCCCTTACACCCTGTAGACTGACTAAAATCCTTCTATACTTGTTTAGCTTCCATCACATTTGTTCATCTGAAGGTTCGATGACACCTCTGGCTTCACCATTTAACATCGGAGTATTTTTGATAAGAATAAAGATATTTTAATTATGTTTTTGCGTCTTTTATTACCTGAAAAGGAATAGAAAAACCCCCACTTTTTGCCAGATACAGTATTATGCAAATGCAAATATGTATAACTACTCCCGCGGCTTTATTCCTATTGAGCAAAACCGACGTGAAGCAGCGCTTGCGTTGTGTTTCGTCGTGTGTGCGAGGTTACCGGCCCAATTATCCCCCCCCCCCATCTCCCCAATTCCTGAATCTCCAACGATCCTTAAACTCCTAGAGTCTGACACTCCCTCCCGCCTCACCCAGGCGGGAGCAGCCATTCGATGATTTTCCCCTCTTAAAAAAATCCAATATTAGAAAACCACATACATACATTGCAAGATATACAAGTTAAATGAAAGCTTGTAAAAAGACACCACAGATATCAATCGGGTAGTAGTATACAGGGTATGAAAATTAAATCTAATTAGTCCGTAATGGTAATGAAAAAATATTAGACACGTATTTTTTTAATTTGTCGTATAAGAAAACAATACTTAGATAAAACGAATCAAAGTTTAGAAGTGGGAAGTAGTTACGTTATTTTTGAGTATAAAGCGTACACAAAAGTGACATCATGCGATATTTCAAATCAATATATCGTCGAAAATATTCGTTTACGTAAGAAAATAAAAAATACGTGTCTAATGTTTTTAAATAATCTATCTACCAGACGGACATTGAAATAAAAATTAGTCATCTACCCTATTGACAAGATAAATAAGGAATCATAGAATTTGTCTGTAGCATTTCCGAACCGATACGACCTCTTGAAGAAAAGAGCCTTTTCAAAAAGCCGGCTACGTTAGGCGTCTGGTGTAGCTGGTCTCCATGGACGGCGCTCATCGCTCGCCTTGCCATCTATTCTATAAAACCGCATGACCTCCTAGCCTGGTCAGGGAGCCTGTTTTTCATACTTACGGAACGACACAGCCCTGCTAAATAAAAAAATAAAATTCCAATAAGAAACTTATTGTTTTTTTTTAGCTTTTATTTTTTAATGTATAAGAAAAGAAAATGATTTTAATTTGAACCTTGGAAACTTTACAGCCTCCTTCCCTATTGTTTTTATTCTAATAAGATTTAATCAATCAATCTGTTTATTTATTTAGTAAATATAATGTACTTTTACAGTTCGTAAAGACATACGCAACTTATAAATTAATATTATCATATAATCTACTATATATAAAAATATGTCGGGTTTCCTTCCTGACGCTATAACTCCAGAACGCACAAACCGATTTCCACGGTTTTGCATTCGTTGGAAAGGTTTCTGGCTCCGTGAGGTTTATAGCAAAGATTTTTTTAATCACCAAACGAAATGTTACATAAAACGAAGTCATGTGGTGGCGAAACGGAGTTCGCCAAGTTTGCTAGTATCGTATAAGCTTCTCATTAACTATTTAATCTAGTTTTTAAAAAGATTCTAATTCGTACTTAAAAAACCCGCTCTTCAAGAGAGGGAGAGACAGCTTAAAGAGCTATCAGACCACTACAGATGCGACCCAGTAGGGCTGATCCCCGATTGGAAAGACTTAATTGGTTTCCAGGGCTTTGGTTTTCTAACGCGTTGCCGGGGCTCCGGTTCGAAGAGCAGGAGTAGAAACGGGGTGTTTTTTAGTCAGTAAGAGCCTGATACTCCCTTTCGCCTAACCCAAGGCGGGAGAAATCATTGGAAAAAATCCCTCTGAAAGGCGTTTGGCTCGTAGGAGCAGGAACAGAGTGGATTTTTGTCAGTAAGAGTCTGACACTCCCTCCCGCCTCACCCAGGCGGGAGAAGTCATTTGATGATTTTCCCCTGAAAGGGCTCTGCTTCGTAGGAGCAGGAACAGAGTGGTTTTTAGTCAGTAAGAGTCTGACGTTCCTGGCCTCACCTCGCGAGGTTATTAAACGATATTCCCTCCGTAAAAAACGTTCCCCTTAAAAAAAGTAATTCAAAGTCAAAGCATTTATTTCAATTAAACCATAATTTGATAATTTTGAAACGTCAACAAATACAAAATAAATAATAGTCTGTCAGTAAAGCTAGGTGCTCATTCCAAAATGTAGAAGAACGAGCAAGAAACTCCATTCCAATAAGGTTCTAATTGTTTTTTTTTGTTACAGTGCAATAGCCAGGCCCACTGTTGGGACAAGGAGAACTTCAATTTGGGGCTTAAGAACAAGAGACTAAATATTATTCAAATACCAGTCACGTACTATGCACTGCCTCGCACAGCCCTCGCTCAATGGCTACACGTCGCGAGGCTGGAAGCAACCTGCATTCAGATGAACTTGACTGATGTTTATATAAACGAACTTACGCAGGTAGGCATTTAAGAATCATATTTGTCGAATTTTTGTTAATAAAACAATTTAAATTAAAAAATGTGGGTTTGGAACTCCCAGAATAACCAGGCGATTACTCTTGAATCCAATTCCGATCGATCGACATAGTATAGTGTCGTACTCTTGAGTTGTAACACTACGCACCCATTGCATCCGTATTGCGCGGATATTGAATGAACTAAATGGCATTGAGTTTGTCTTTATATTCCGTACTCTGAATGCTATTGTAACAGCTACGATTGTGGTTGTATAGTGTTGACATTGAATAATTATTGAGGTTTTATTGGATTGTAATTGCATTGACATTGAGATTGGTTTCAAGAGTAAATGCCCTGTTTTTTTTAATAAGTAAGCAAACATGTTCTGCTAGCATGTAAAAATGAATTAAAAATATAAAACACGACTTGTAAACTATTCAAAGATGTCCGACTAGTTTCGATCCACACTGGGGCTCATAAATCTTGAGTTTGCTACTATTGGCTACATAACATTGGTTTATGATTATTGAGAATACGCAAAAAAAATGTGGTGGCCGGGAGGTTCCTCAAACACGAGCATAAGGTTTCAAAACTTACGTATATTTTTCTTATGTCCCATAAAAAAATACCAACGGCAAGTACCAATGTAACTTTTTCCGAGTTATATGTACTTTCTAAGATTATTCAGACACCACTGACAAACGGTGAAGGAAACCTGGGCTTATAACTTCTATGTTTGAAATCGCCAACTCGCATTGAGCAAGCGTGGTGGTTAATGCTCTAACCTCCGTGTGAGAAGAGACCTTTGGTCAGCAGGGGGCATTTATATGCTGTTGATGTTTAAAATGAGCTTGAAACCAGTCTAACATCTTAGATTAGTTTAAACTGTCAAACACCAAGCGGTCACCGGTGACCGCGACCTATTGTTCTTTAATTGTGTCTATAAAACCGGTACTCGACGAGTTAATTGTGTCTATAAAACCGGTACTCGACGAGTTAATATTAGGCACGTATTAGAAAAGATGTCAAATTATTATTTAAATATTTAAATTATTTGTTAGATTGTCAAATAGTAATACCTCATTTGATGTTAATGTACTGTGTAAATATAATATAAGATGTAGTTTAAGTAATTGTTATAGATTATCGAATGTATTTATAAAACTTGCTTTAATTGTGTAGTTTCCAGGGGGTATCAAAATTAAAAATCTAATTAGTCCGTCAGTTAGACAATGAAAAAATATTAGACACGTATTTTTTTTTAATTTTCTCGTATTAAGTTGCAATACTTAGATAAAATGGCGCTAAGTTTAGGAGTCGTTACGTCATAACGTGCTACAAAATGTGACACGCTGTGACGTCACACGATATTTCAAATTAATATATCGTCGTAAGTATTTAATTTTGTGAGAAAAGAAAAAATACGTGTCTAAAGTTTTAAATTAATGTACCAGACGGACATTAAAATAAAATTTAGGAAACTACCCTATTATTATGTTTTTCACTTACTCCCGTAATTATTTGACGAGGAACTCGACTAGTTTCGGCGGCGACAGTCGCGCTGCTACTGTCGCGGGTCGCGAAACGCTACTCATGAATATGAGCCTCTAGCATGGCTTGAAACTAGTCGAATTCCTCGTCAAATAATTACGTGAGCCGAAAAAATAATAAATAAAAAAACCGACTTCAATCTCCTCTTTTTGAAGTTGGTCAATTATTCTTCTAAGAGATGAATGATTCAAGAGGAAGGCTCCGGCTCGACGTGCAGGAGAAGGAACGGGGTGGTTTTTAGTCAGTAAGAGTCTAACACTCCCTCCCGCCTCACCCAGGCGGGAGCAGTAATTCGATGATTTTCCCCCTTAAAAAAATACCTATGTATGATTAGATAGCTTCTCTATAATAAAATAAAATTTTTAATATACATCTCTGTTAGGGTAGTAGATAGTGTATGAAAATTAAAAATCTAATTAGTCCGTCAGTTAGGTAATGAAAAAATATTAGACACGTATTTTTTTATTTTGTCGTATAATAAAACAATACTTAGATAAAACGCAATTAAGTTTAGAAGTGGGAGGTCGTCACGTCACGCTACCCTATAAAATGTAAATCGTGACGTCACACGATATTTCAAATCAATATATCGTCGAAAGTATTTAATTTTGTAAGTAAAGACAAAGTACGCGTCTAATATTTTGAAATAATCTACCAGACGGACATTAAATTAAAATTTTGGTATACTACCCTATAGTATTATAATTGTGAACGTATGTGTGTTTGTTGCACTTTAACTACTAAACCGCTGTACATATTGAGATGAGTTTTGGCACAGAGTTAGATTAGACTCAAAAATGATTGAGAAGATAAGACTTAAAATGTATAGAATATATGAGAGCAAAATCGCAAAATGAAAGTAGTTAGAAATCAAAATTATTCCTAGATAATCTAATAGATTTGCCACCACGGATGGGGCCCAATTGGACTGATGCCGATACGGAGTCGCGGAGAACCTAACGGGTAACCGGGGCTCCGGCTCGAAGTGCAGGAGAAGGAACGGGGTGGTTTTTAGTCAGTAAGAGTCTGACACTACCTCCCGCCTCACCCAGGCGGGAGCAGTCATTCGATGATTTCCCCCCTTAAAAAAAGCCCTATGTATAGGTTGATTTTTCAGTATCTTCGGACGGACCATTTCATATTTTATGGTCCTGAATGTATGAAATTTAAGTTTTCATGAAAGTTTTGTATAAATGAAATATTATAAAGAGTCTTTAGTCAGTAAGAAAATGTTATGAATGTAAAAAGCATCGAGAATTTAGTTTTTTTCTAAATAAACGGTTTTTTTAAATATATTTGTTGTTTTTTTTTACAAATCTTTTGCAAAACAACTTCATTTGTTTTTAAATAAATAAGAAAATAACTAACGGATTATCCGAAAATTTTCAATCTATAACCGTATCCAGTTTAATAATCATTTCTATATCCGTATCCGAAATTTCATGTCCATAACATCCCTGGTACATACTCAGTATTTTTTTTATGGAATAGGAGACAAACGTGCAGACGGATCACATGATGGTAAGCGATCAGCGCCGCCCATGGACACCCGCAACACTAGAGGAGTCTGATATGCTCTTTTCTTGAATGTAACGTCGTATCGATTTGGAAATACCGCCGCCGACGACGTATTTATCTATTCAACAACAATCCTTATAAGTACCTGACAGATAGTTCATACAACAAAAGTCAAAAGTCAAAGCATTTATTTCAATTAAACCACAGTTTGGTACTTTTGAAACGTCAACAAATAGAAAATAAATAATAGTCTGTCAGTCAGTGAAACTAGGTGAAGTTAGGTGCTCATTCCAAAAAGTAGATTCGAATGGAGAAGAACGAGCAAGAAACTCCATTCGTTCTTAATCCAATTTCAAGTGATAGATCTCGATAGTAGATAATGGCTAACCCAAATATTGTGTAACAGATGGTAACAGTAACAGGCGCTAAGGGTGATATTACATATCTCGACTTCAGGCATATTTAAGTTTCAAGACTAATTAAACTCAATGGTCTGTCAACCACGAGTTTATGAAAAAATTTCAATTTTATCAGTTTAAAACAATAGTTTAATACGATAAATGTTCACAGTCGACCGCGGAGCCCAACTAAACGCGTGTAACGAAACCATAGCGCGATTCAGGAATACTACGGAATTGTACAACGCCATCTATCGAGTGGACTTGTGGTTTTGTTTGTTTCAATACTCTGATGTTTTTTTTAGGGTTTACATAGTCTACGGAGTCGCGGAAGACTTAACTGATTGCCGGGGCTCCAGCTCGAAGTGCAGGAGTAGGAACGGGATGGTTTTTAGTCAGTAAGAGTCTGACACTCCCTCCCGCCTCATCCGGGCGGGAGAAGTCATTAGATGATTTTCCCCCCTTAAAAAACACGTTTCGTAGTCACAATGTTACTTGTTGACTAAAGCTCCGCTATCTGTCTGTCTGTCACTAGGCTGTTTTTCGTAAACTATGATATACTAACCACGGCTCGAAACGCGGGAGATGCCGAGTCAATAACTCCTGAGGATGCTCCGTGAAGAAGCGAAATATGTCGAGTGTGGTTAGAGTGGTTTATTGCGCATCGTCTGTATTGTTGTGTCGCATCTCTGCTGCATGAGCGTTTATCTGTGCGGTGCTGTATACTACAAATTCATTTCTTCAGCAGAATAAAAACTAAATATTTTCCTAGTTGTTAGTGAAGCATGGATTTCCGTAAAGTAACGCCTGATTCTATTCTATAACATAACATCACGCCTTTTATCCTTTTATCCCCGAAGGGGTAGGCAGAGGTGCATATTACGCCCGCTTTTCACTATTTATGTTATGAATCTTATGTAATAGGGGGTGAGTCTATTGCCATATATTGGGCACAATTCCAGACTCCGTGCTAATACTGAGATATTTTTTTGCGCGACCTGGGAATCGAATCCGGAACTCCACTCCTCTCGGCCAACGAGGCAATCTAGGGAGATTGCGATTTAGGGGGTAGGAAGGGTCCTACCCCCTAAATCGCCGGCAATGCACTTGTGCACAACGCACTGGTGTTCCGGGTCCGGGTGTCCATGGGCGGCGCTAATTGCTTACCATTAGGTGATCCTCTGCTCGTTTACCGCTGTGTTGTTATACTCTGTCGTTTCATTGTTTTTTTTTCTATATCTATTTGATCTTTTATTTTTTAATTTCGTATTTTTTTGTATCTGTGTGTTTGCCTACTGTCGAATAAATGTTTTTTCTTTCTTTCTCTATTCTATAAAAAAATATGTCATCATTGTTTCTGGTAAAGAAGTAATTTCGAGACAAAAATTAAGGAAAAGAAC